CTACGTGACTTTAAGGATCTCCATCCCTGAGGCGGTCTAGGAGCAGTAAGATTTCAGTAGTGGTTAAAATGGCCTACAGTCACAGACAAGACCTTCCAGTGGAGTTCCAATGTGTAAGTGCTGGCAGCAGTAGGGGCTGTGATTGAAGAGATCATGTCAAATGAGCAATGTAGGAACAAGCAAAAGCAGCTTCTCTGAGGTAGGAGAGAGAAAAGAAAAGCTTGTACAAAAGGAAAAAAAGAAAAACAAACAAACAAACAAAAAATCAACCCTGTCTTTAAAATCATAAGTACCTTAATGTGCTTTAGCAATATTAAAAAAAAATCAAGTTTTGAAAGTTTTGAAAATGGGCCACATTTGCACACACATTTTTCATTAAAAAATTTCAAGCTACTCTAGTGAATACAACCGAGACTGCCAAAGTCAACAAACCTGAGCTGTTCAAACTTCAGTTTGAGTCACAAATGTAGCTTCTTAAAAGGATGGTTGATTGAAATGACCACATAGCTAGGACATGTGTGATTTTTCTCTTCTTTCGAGCACTTCACAAATTGATTTCTGCTTTTGTTTCTACTTAATTGCAGCTATTAGAAGACCTGCTGATAGACAAACTATCACAGGGAAGGATATGGTTTGGGGCACACTGTATATTAGAGATTGAGCTATATAACCTCCAATTAATACTGAAAGTATTGTTCATTTGGCTCTCCTGGGACAGCAAATACAAATAGAAGAAATGTATATGTATAAAGAAGGGCTTGCTTCTGTTTGGTTTCACATAGACGTCCCCAGTCATTTTGAATCTGACTCTGCTATGCAGAACTATGCAGCTTTTTTTTCTTTTCTTTTTCTGTCTGCATAATACCTCTTTTTTATTTATTTTATTTTTATTTTTATTTTTATTTTTATTTTATTTTTATTTTTATTTTTATTTATTTTTATTTATTTTTATTTTTATTTTTTTATAATCAATGGAACTTACATATGTATACTTTCTGTTTGGCTGTGGTTTGGTTTGTCTAGAAATAATCTTGGTGCACTTCAAACATCATAGCTGCACTCAAGAGAGGAGGCTGTGCCAATGGTGCCTGTGGTCACGAAGGAGCTTGAGTGGGTAATGGAGATTCTACAAGCATCCCAACCTCTTTTTTTTTTTTTTTTTTTTTTTTTTTCCAGAATACCTTGGTTGGACTTTGGTATTGTTCTCCCTTTTCAGTAAGGAACAATGTGGTACTTTTTTTGTTCTTAGTGGGGAGATGAAGTTCATGTCCCTGCTCTGGTAGCTGTCTTTCACTGCAGCTGCTTTGAAACCTCTCTTCATGGATATTCAGGAGAGTTCACAGTACGACAAATTTAACGAAGCTGTAAATTATTGCATAGTTTCAGATTAAGGCTAAATATAAGGCTGTTAACCCCATCCAGCTTTATCAATTCATCTAGCATGGAAGACACTGATGCGTGCTCTATTTGTGCACTGTGTTGTGGGTTTAAACACTGTTGATGTGCATGCAAATAGCAAGCAGCTAATGGATCCCAAATGATTAGAGAGCATGCTCTTGTCCAGACTTTGGGAGGCATAGGTAAGTAGGCAGCTTGACAGATGAGAGTGATGTATGCTTCAGACAGCATACACAGCTCTGCTACCATTAATCAGAAGGCAGAAATAAACATGGCCCCACAAAGTTTAACCTGCTTGGCAATGTTGCTTGAGGCAGGAACAAAGGCTTAAACATACTGTTGGGATCTGTCTTTACACTGGTATGCATTTCCAAGTGTGGGAGGTGGTAATAAGTCCCACTGAAGGGGCAGGAAGGCTAGCTCGGACCCTGCCCAGCAGATAAGGCGAATAACTTATTGCAAAAGTGTCCCCCAGCCCCCCGCCTTTCTTTTTCCTGTCTTCCTTGTTTTCTTTTTCTTTTTTTCTTCCTCTTTTCTTTTTTGGGTCACACATGTCTGCAGGCCACAGAGAGTTGAGAAGCAGCCTGGGAGATGAAGAGCTTATGGAAATAAGCTCTCTTCCTCCTCCTCGTGTGGACTGCTAATCCTGATTCAACAAGATTTTTAATTCTCCCTCCGTGGCTGTGCAAACAATTTGCTGATCCCCAAGAGTTGCTCCAATCCAAGACTGGAGTAACTCTCAGGTGCAGCTGTGAACAGGATTTTGGTTAAAGTCAAGTTCATAAATATTTGCCTAATATACCAGACTCTAGGTGCCAAATAAAGCAAGCGCAGGCTGCGTGTATGTGTGTGTGTGTGTGTGTGTGTGTGTGATGGAGGGGAAGCAGAAGGAGGGAGAGAAAAACACCCCTAAGTTTTTAAACACTCATTTAAATACTTTTCAGTACTGCTGATATTTTATGTAATACTGGCCTTATTTATGTATTTATGTATTTTGCTTTGATGGGGGATTATTTTTCTCACTGCAGTCTTCTTTTGATTGATGCAGTGTGCCTGCTCACTTTCAGATATGGTTGGAGAAGAAGCAGCATAAGTTGGGTGACTGTATTTAAAATGGGTAATACAGAATGGTTTTAAACTTTAATATTTCATATAGACATTTAGTTTTACAAGTAATTTATTTTGTGAGATGCAACTTTCTGCCTGGACAGTGTTGATTTTGAGTAACTTGATGTTCATTTCCCACCTCTGCATATTAATATTATTTGGACAGTGTGGTTTTCAAATACCTTATCACTGTTGGATTCTTTTATAGCTGTGAAAGAAATAAAGCAAACTTCTTTATATCAAGATACTGTTTTTTTCCTTATGATGAATTTCAATATATGACAAAACAATGACAACCAATACATTTTCCAATAAGAAAAACAACAGCATCTACTGTATGAAACAAGTCTGTTAATTGTGTAAAACACTACATATAAGACTAAATAACTTGTAAAATCAAGAATGTTTCCCAGATAAAGTATACAGTGTTTGTGTCAGATTCCCCATTGATATAAATTAATATTTCTGCATCACCTTTAAATAAACATAGCTAATTTACACCTATTGACAATATTGTCATTGCCTCATGGTATTTCATTTTTTTTTAATCTGACAAAGAAAATGTCTTATTTTAAAAGTCAGATGCCCCTGAAAGTTAGATTTCTAATAAAGAGAAAAAGAAGCAAACAAAAAATTCCCACTTAAGTCCTTGAAGAGAGATGACATCTTCCCTCTTGGATTACAGTATGTTTAATTAAACTTTTAATTGATTCTTCAGAAGAGAACAGGCCAAACCTATTTATATTTGTCACTGAGTTATCTCTTTTAGAAGGCATATCTAACCATGTTTTGAACCAGCACAAAAAAATAAATGTGGATTTAATGATGTCTATTGTATTATTATTATCATTATCATTATTATTATTATTATTATAAAAAGATGGACACCAGCACTACTTACCTGTAAGGGAAAGATAAAAAAATGTATATATGAATCAAATGTGTATAGGACTTTACTATATTCATCAATTGTGTGTCACCAAACAGATATATTGAGTAAAAGATTTATTTAAGAATACTATAAGACTATTGGAGGGGGGGGGGAAGATATATGCTTCCACCACTTACGCCTTGTACATTTAAACCTTGATTATGCATGCTTAATATTTCCAATTCTTCTGAGTTTAAATTTCAAATATGCTTAGATATAGAAATAATTGTGACATGTCAGCTGTCTCAACATGGACTGGATCAGTAACAGTACTTAGCATGCATAACATTGCCTAGCAAAAATTATCATTATTTTATTAGATCTGAAAGTATTAAATTTATGTTAGTCAACATCTTACTCTCCTTACTCTCTTACTTTTTTTTTTTTTTCCTAGAGGGAATATTGTGTTTTTATTTAAAAAATAAAAATAGTACTGATGATTAAACATTAATTATGGTTTGACCTTGGTATCTTAGGAAAAAAAAAAAAAGAATCTGGGACCTGGTCTAATAATGAAAAGTGGTTTCCATGGAAATCTAAGTAAAGAGGAGTCAGGTTACATCTGTCTGATTCCTGCCATGACTTCTAGGACTTTGTAAATGCTCTAGGTTAATGTAGGGTTGAGTTTATATATTTCAAAAGTATAAACCTGATCTGTAGTGTTTTAATTGTCATATGATTCTCAGACAGAAGCTGCATCTCTGTTAATAGAATGTTTCATAGAGTAGAACTATACAAAGAGAAAAAAAAATATTAGGTACCATGCTTAGATTCAGTTAACATAGCTTATCAGTATGAATGGTAAAATACTTGATGGAAAAGAGAATTATGGAAATCCTAGCATTCACATCACCTTTATTTTTTTTTTTCCCCAAAGGCAAATATTTGTGTTTTCTTTCTGAAGGAAAATCTGTGAGATTCCCTTCCCTCATCAGTAATGACCATCAGTTCTGGAGCAGGTGTTTTTCTAGAAGAAGCTGTGGAAGGCATAATATAGAGCTGTTGATTTCTTTTCTGCTAACTTATGAGGCCACACAATATTTTGCATCTGTTAATAGAACAATCTCTGTTAACTCAAATAAAATGAATGAGAATTGGCCTTCCATTAACGAAAAACATCACATTAAGTAGAATAAACATGGAGCATGGAAACTGAGCATGGAGCCTAAATTCACGTGACCATATGGAGTAGTGAACACATTGCAAATCTCTCTTTTTCTAGCTTCATGCTTTGATGCTGACTTCATATATTTTTATAACCTGAACTGCCCCATCATATCTGTATATGGGAACAAAGAGCCCATCTGAACACTTGCAGCTGCCTATCTACACTTACCTGCATCCAGAAGATCTTAATAACCTTGTTTCTCCTATACAGAGGTTTATGTTTCAGAGCTTGTTGTCCTGGCCTCAGATACCGCTGAGTACTTTGGAGAAGCACTGTGACCTTTACTTTCTTCAGTCATCTACATCTACTAATAAATGATACATATAATAAATGATATATAATAAATCTACTAATAAATGATAGTACTCACCATTCCTTACTGCATTTTTCTTCCAGTTTGATTTCAGGCCAGTGCAGTGGTCTCAAGGTTTTCCCTTCCGAGCTCAAAAGCAATTGATACCTTTGAAGTTCAGCTCATTGTGCTTTGGTATGTTTTGCCTTGATCAATGTCTTATGTCATCTTTGATAGAAGCTCTTGCTGCCACAGCCATGACTTGGAAGATTTCTCACATCTCCTCTTCCTACCCACCTTCCCCTATGAATGATTTAAGCTATCTCACTTTTTTATTAATAGTTCTCTGGAGGCCTTGGGTACCCTTAGGTTGACTCTCTTGGCCTTACAAAGTTAAATGTCTACTCGGGGCTTGCAAAAAAAATTCTTAGTAGCTTAAGAGGTGTCATTATTCAGCAAACATTTCTGACTTTCCCCCCAAATCATCTTCATAACCACAGTGCGTATGATTTAACTAGAATCAAAAAAAACAATGTAGATTGGAAGGGACATCAGGAGGCTATCTAGTCCAAAACACCGGTCAAATGTGAGTTAACCTTCGACCAGTATTTTGTTAGTAAGCTTCAGTTTTGTAAGTAAGTTTCAGATTTCTTGGAGTTTTGTGCTGTGCTCTGTGACCATAAGACTTTCAATAAGGTTAGTAGACATAATCAGAGTGGAGGGAAAATACGAGGGATTCTGGAAGGACAAATGTAAAGGTGTAGATCTTCTTCTTTCCACCAGCATATTACATCATTGTTGTTCCATGAACCTAAGTGGTAAGTGGGAAAGTTACCCAGTTCATCAACTCCTAATTGTATCTCTGAAAATGAACCTTAAACAGCTGTTTTGGTTAAGGAAGTGATCTTTCAGATCCCTGATGCTTCATAAATCTCTACAGAACCCAGTAATATTTTAAGCACTTTGACAAACAAACAAACAAAAACAAATGAATGAAAACAAAACAACAACAAAACAACAACAAAAAACAAGAACAGAACAGGCAGTGGAATTGTTAAGTACTCAGTGTCTCTGGAAAACAGGGCACTTATTTAATTCCTAACTGTAAGCACCCACATTTGAAAATACAGGTCATAACTTGATAAAAAAAGTAACACAAATTCCATTTGCTAGAATTATAATGTGCTAGGCAAACAGTACACCCCCAAAATTTAGCCATCTGCTTAATTAATCCTTCCATGGATTGTGTCTCTCTATACATGTTTGTGTGATCCCACTGAGGGCAATGGGTTTACATAGGTGTGTCAGACCAGTGTTTGGCTCTATGAGTCCCCCAGATTTGAAAGATATCTGGCTCAGCCTGCATTCTGATTCATAAAAATAATACAGTTTCCTGATGTTCTGGGACCTGTTAGCCTTTGTTTTTGTTTTCTCCTCATTTTGTTACTTTCTGAGGAATTGCATTACAAGTAAAGCTACAAATAATAATCAGGTTGTGGCACCTTGGAGAGAGCTTTCACAAAACATCATGGAGGAAATAGGCACACACAAAACCTGTGAAGAAAATACAGTAGGTTGTACATACACTTCTCCCACTCATTGTTTGCAATTTGCACCATTTGTGTCAGTGTTTGTAGGCAGCCCTAGAAAACAAGCCATTGCCTCACTGTGAAACCTAGCCTTGATACTAAAACTATTATAGAGCTCATGACTCTACTTCCTCTCCCTGACTTTACTTGCTTTCAAAACCCTGTGATGGTGAGTGCAATTCTACTGCTGTCCACTTAACCTACAACTTCACATGAGTTGTATGCAAACTTTACAGGCCATCCAGGTAGAAAATCTTCCAACCTTCACTGGAAAATGCCTTTATCAGCTGACACAACTAGCTCAGCTTAGAGTCTACTCTGGCCTCCAGTGTGATCCACTGGCTTGTGGTGGGAATGTAACCCAAATTCCACTACTCCAATTCAGGCAAAACTGGGAAGTGAACTTGGGTGTCCCACCTTGCAAAAGAATGTCCTCTCTCTCCCTCTGCTGTTGACTAGAGAACAGTAATAATAATAATAATAATAATAATAATAATAATAAATCCCAATCATTTCTCATGAGGAGAGGAGTTCTTTGGTTCAGCAGACCCAAGTTATGTTAAAATCCAGCTCTTAAAAAGCTGACAAATTTAGATGAAAACTTTTAAAGGTACATATTTAAGAAGAGATTGGACTGTGCACTTAGTCACATGGTCTGAACTTTTGGGTAGACCTGTGCGGTGTCAAGAGTTGGACTTGATGATCCTTAAGGGTCCCTTCCAACTCAGGATATTCTATGATTCTATGATTCTATGATATTTTGTGGGACTATTTGTTTGTTTATTGTTTGGATAGGGAGAGTAATTATAATGTTCTGCAGTAGATTCTCCATACAAGAAAACATTTTTTTGTGTGTGTTTTCAAGTATTTAAATTGAGAAAGACCTAAGTCCTGCAATGTATCTTAGATGATAGCAATAACTCTTTCTGACCTTGAAATCCAAAGTCCTGATTGAAGACCATGCAACTGCTGACCTGCGGCAAGGCTACTTCTATTCTCTTCTCCAATCAGTCTGTTGCTGGATGTATCCTGCCCACATGCTAAAGCATATTTCCTTTCATTTGACACTTTTGCAAATTACAGAGTTACTGCCTCAATTCACAGGCTCCTGACAGCAACTGCAAGGGGAAAAAAAAATTATCTCAATTGCATATGTGAGGTTTTTTTATCAATCTAGCCTTAGGTGTGCAGGGATCTTATGCTCATCAAGTGTATTCAAGTATGCATTTTAGAACTGGCACTTTACAGAGCTAATTTTCCTTGTCAAAGCAGGCAAAAGCAATTATATAATGTAAACATTTGATTCACTTGCATTGTGTAGACTGTATTTTTGTTAACCCCACATTCTTAAAAGCACCTTAATTTCAATGGGAAGCATCTGCATTTGTGTAAAGACTATGAGGTCGATTCTCTCCATTGGTGCAGTCTTGTTACTCCCAGTGCCACTAATGGGAGTTAAGCATGTGCATCAAGGGGCTAATATTCAATTGATGGGTTGATCTCACAAATTGTTTGGTGAATCCCTATCCCTGCACTCAGCTTCTCTGGCATCTCTATGTAGTGTGAAGAGGTTTTTAATTGAAAAGCGTATTTTCAGCATTCAGTACTCAACTCTACATTTCAATTTAATGCACTTTGTAAAGAGATTTATCTGTGGAGCAGATGCCCTCTGATGGAAGCTAAAAAAAGTCTTAAACTGACCTTATGCTGGTTCATATTACAGAAACCATTAGCTTGTATTATCACTGTTTTGCTGTGAAAAGACTCTGGGGCATTACAAGCATTCGCCATGCTCCCCCTGTCCCTCCGTGTCTCTTTGACATTGTGCCACCCCATTGTTTAGAAGTTAAAATATGCAGTGTTCTCTGCACTGCATGCAAACAAATGAGCGTTCATGTAACCCATGCAAAATAATGGCAATGACCTTGTTAATAGAAAGATTTTCTCCATCTAAGACTAACTGCCTACTGCAATAGAGAGCTACTAAATGCCTGTTTGCCTTATATATATATATACACATATATATATGGGAAAAAAAAAAAAAAAAAAGGAAAAGAGAACAATTTAGTTTAACCTCTTCTCTAGTAGAAACTATATTCCAGCCTACTGAAGGGAGAGCAGATAATTCTTGTCTGTAGTAAATGCCATATAATGGCCATCCATTTTCTTTTATCGTGTATTTTTGCATCATATCTATAGATGAAGAAATGATTCTGGGGTGCTGTTCTGAGCCACGTCACCATAGTCAGCCCTCTACTTGTATTCATTGCATCCCGTCACCGTAGGAGTGACTCCTGTTTTCCCATTTTAACAATGATCGTATTCTAAGGTCTTTCCTGGAGATATCCTGCCCTCTTGCTTTCCTGAACTCTCTCCCACTGTAAAAGTTCATGGACAAAGAAGAGTCTGCACCAAATATGCTGCAAGGATGCAGCTATGAAGGACTGTACAGAAGGACTGTGCTGCTTCCAACCATATGCCAACAGTCTTTTCCTCACAGGAGCACACAGTAATCTGGGTAATAGCATCTTTTCCTCAGCTAAGAGTTCTTATTTTGGGTGGAATTCAGACCAGTGCAGAGGCCTTGAGAACTTAATTGGTGCATAGGCCCTTCAAACAGTGCTGGATTTCACCCTTAATGAAGTATTGAGTGGGCTGCCTATGAGTCTCAGGGGAAAACGTATTGGAGTGCTCTGGCACCATTGCTCCCACTTTATGTAAACCCACTCCAGCTTGCTCCATGCTTCTGGCTCAGTGCCTAGCTTTGCAGACAAATGTCAACCTGCCAAATATCTTCCATTTGCATTCCAGCCCATTTCAGAGACCATCCAAACCAAACACACACACACGCACAGAAAAAAAAAAAAAAAAAAAAAAAAGAGAGAGAGGAAAAAAAAAGGGGAGAGGCAGTGACTTGTCGAATTTCCTTCCTTGATCCCTTAGGGAAAAGGGTTATTACTGAGTGTTGTTGCACAGGCACCACCGTGAAGAATACGTGAATGGGAGGGTGGGAAAGAGGCAGAAAAAATGCCTTTAAATCATAAAACTGTCAGTGAGCTTAAAAACATAAGCAACATTTCAGTCTCAAAGCCGATCATGTAGGAACTGTTGTACATGTTATGGTTTCTAAGGGACTTATTCAAAAGCTATACTTTTTTCCCTTCTGTACTCATTAGGTAGCAAGAGTAGTTTCTGGTGGACAAATTAATAGATTCATAGGAAAGTGTGTTTCTTAACATATTAACATATAGAAATGTGTAGAGTATTAATCTGTGAGTATAAAAAAGAGTTTTAAACACTGTTAAAGGGAATGTAAGATAGTGGCTGTAGAGTTGTTGCATGAGATAGGCTTTTTAAAGGGCAATCCTCAGGAGAACCTAATTCACATATTCAGAATAGTGCTTGTGAGCAGCTCAGCTGACTAGATAAGGAATTGGGGAAGACTAGTGTCCTAACTGAGATGGCTAGAATTTACCACTGGTGAAATGACCCTAAGATCCTTACTCATCTTTTCAGTAGAAGGAGGAATAAATGTTACTGCAGGTCTGTGACTGTATACATTATGTCTGACAACTGAATTCAAACAAGAGACATTTGTCAGGGTTTAGAGCTGGCACAAGGCACCATGCTGGATATCTCTGAATAAGACAAACTAAAGGGCTGGATAGGTGTGGAGAATAACCAGTGATACATACTGTAGCTGCCTTTTTGGATGGGCATTTGGTAAGGTATTGAGTCACTAACCCTTGCAATAGTCTTCTGCATCTGGCCTGAACTTACAAGGGTAAGTTACAAGTGCTTATTTGAAGGCAGGTAGAACTTGTGCTGTTGTGTGAAGATGTAGCAGGCTGCAAGGTAAGCTGCCTCTGCTGCCTGCAATATGCTTCCACTTGCATATCCTTCCAAAAAACAGTCCTGCCTAGACCCCATTATTGCTGAGCTGATAGGATGGGGATCCAGTTCAAGTCCTTTTATTTAAAACAAAACAAAACAAAACAAAACAACAACAACAACAAAATATTTTTAAACAAACAAAAAAACATAAAAATAATAAAAACATTTTATTAAACAAACAAACAAACAATGATTGCCAGAAAAAATAATTCATGAGTGGATATGGTGAACTCTTGTCAGTGCCTTTTAGTCCTTTCTGTAAAGCTTCAAAATGTACTCTTCTAGAGAGTGCAGTGTGACTGCACCTCACAGACAGGCAGTCAGGGGCTTATGCAAACTCATTGGTTGCCCTCGACCCACGTGAAGCCATTCCCTGTCAGTTATGGTGCTTTTTCAAACATTACTCTGATAATTAAAATATTAGCATCAGCAACAGACTTCATCACCTCAGACCACTGCAAGTAGGGATGATTATGTTATAAACTGACATCACAGAAGCTGAACAAAAGCCACATGCCACCAACAACTAAACAAAGTGACTTTCTGCTTAAAAGCACCATAACACATGTATAATTAGCTAATTAAGCTACAAAATAAATAATTATCCAGCATAAGAGTGAGAGGAGGAAAAAGAAAAAGAGTTAAAAGGTTACACATAGACACATTGTTTTCCTCTGGAAAGATAACACAATCTTTACACCAGGAACTCACCAGCTTTACTTGTGCTTTTCATTCAGGAGTGTCTACTGAATGCTTTGCTAATTACATATATCCACTGGAAATAGCAGTGGCTGCTAGATGCAATCTTTTGGGTGATGAACAGCTTGCCTTGTCCACTCTTGCTACCGGTAATCTTTGAGCGACTGCACAGGAGTGCCTGAGAACAAAGAGGTGCCTGCCTGCCCCGGCCCAGGCTGTGCCTCAGGAGATCGTTCTTCAGGTCTCGCTCCTTTCCCAGTCTCCCTGTGTGGTCTTTGGCAAATGACTGGGGATTGCTTTCAGGCAAGGATGTGGGCACTTTTGTCCTGGCAGAGTCCCTTCCAACCCCTGCTCCTCTGCCACCATCCCAGTGCCCCCCACACCTGACTGTGGAGAAGCCCCCGTGCCTTCAGCTCTGCTGGTGGGCCTGCCACAAATCGTCTTAGTCCTGGGTAGCTCAGCGCCTAATTCATGCCTGGCTGAATGGGGATCTACAGATGAGGTATTATTTTGTGTGTGGTCCCCTCAGGGGCTCTGTCTGCCAGGTGATCTCAGAGCATGCCTCACAGCTTCACTCAAAGCACAGCCGCTGGAGGAGCAGTGCCACCTCTCCCACTGCCAGCCGGGACAGGGAGACCTCAGTGTAGTTTCCTGCTCTGCCCAAGAGCCTTTGAACCCACTTCTGCCATCTCCCCAGCAAATAGGGGGAGGGGAGCAAGGGAGGGGTGCTCTCCCATCTTTGCTATGGAAGCTGTTATACTTTGCATCAAATAATTACAGATTCATTAGAGGGAGAT